ATAGCAAGGAAGACTGTGTTGTCATATTTGGCGATAAAACGCCCATTTGGCGACAAAATTGGCGATATACCATGGACGGATGGAGAACTTTCTAGAACGAATTCTTACCGGTTTAGCCCAGAATGTTCTCGAACACAAGCCGAAAACTATATAAACTCTGCTGGTCCGCAGTCAGTTAGTGTGTGTGTGCCTCGTCTAGAGTGCGAGTTAGTCAGTATCGAGTTGGTGTCTCGTCTAGCGAATCAATCCCAGCGGAGTCGATCGAGTTGACAGCCAGGCAGCGAGTGACGAGTGGGTCGTCGAGTGCACCGAAGGAGTCTCTTAGTGAATCGCGGTTAGTGCATCGTCGAGAGAGCGTGTTGAGCTCCGGGAACGACTCAACCGAAGAGTCTGGAGCTGTGGTCATGTGTCGTCGAGTGCATCGCGAGTTGTAGCTTGGAGAGTCTCGAGAGTACGTGGAATTCCGAGAACGACCAAGCAGAGTCGGGAGCTGTACTCCGGAAAGCAGAGGCGGGTGCTTTGCAGGAAGCTGTCTTCACCGTGATAGCCTGATAGCCTGAAGGCTGTGTCGCTGATTGTTCCAGCGAGTCTATAGTAGATCTTCGACGACTGTGAAAGCGTTTTGGAGCTGTCCTGATTAGTATTGGTAAATAAAGTGTGTTCCGATACTTCATCAAGTGTCGTGGTTATTCACTCCAAATCTACGAACCCCGTGCGAACGTGAAGGAAGAAAATAACGTAACAAGTGGTGTCAGAAGAATAAAAAAAACGTAACAATAATAATGTTAATAATATCAACAACATGAAAGTGAATATATTTTTTCTTCTCTCACAAGTCACAGACATTTTGTTCTCTTTCTTTTCGTTTTTTCACTGTTCGCAAACCTTATGTTCCCAATCCCGTTTTCATATCACGTGGCTATCGATAACCAAATAAATTAATTTTTCTCTGTTAGAACACTTCTCTGAGCAGTGAGATAATTTATGCAAGAAAAAAATTGAAAGAAAGTAAATATATTAATAGGACCATTCACAGTAGGGTATATCTGAACTAACGGAGAAATCTGAGATAACCGACCCATCTCCAAAACCAGTTTCTCCTCATAGCGCAAGGAATTGAAAAATCTGAACTGAACGTATAGCGGATCTAGTCGACACATGTAACTGACACTCTTTCGCATCGAGAGAGGACCAAATCTCTTTTCCTCAAACATCGAAAACGCCCGTGTATACGAATTCCTCTTGGAATACTTTTCCTTCTCCCATAAAAAATTGAATGCTACAGACCTAGCAATAACCTGCTGAAGTAAAGCGATAACTTCTTTCTTGGACGCTGCCACCCTGTGTGAAGTTCTCCCTTGGAACAAGATTGCAACTTCGGGCATCAATAGCTAAAAATGACAGTAAACAAAGGAAAAAGAGGGTGCATTAAAATAACAGAACTACTTTTAGTCATTTCATAAGAATGATTAACTTGTCATTTAACAACTCCTAAAAGCAATGAATAATGCAGTAACGTGATGGAGAAAAAGCAGTGGGTAAGAAATGGCGTTCGGGCGAACTGCCGAAATCTGAATGCTCTGGCGTTTGGGACAACTTCATTGTGAAAGAGATAAACCCCAATGTGACGACCTTTTAATGTCAATATGACTTTTACTAAGGTATAACGTAATTTTGACTCCATTATATAAGTAATTTTGTGATATTGACAGGATAAGAGCTATAATGCAGATAGGTAAGTTATTCAAGTAGTTCACATTTAAGGAAGACAATGTACTCGATGTTATAGGAATTTAATCTCTCGTGCCTCACATTGTTCTTTTGTAGGTGTAATAGTATTTCTTTAATCCTCTGACAATCACGGGGTTTCACTAAGAAAGCCCAAATTTCTGAAAATTGCCATGTGAAAGCCATATTTTCTTGATTTTAATGCCAAAATGCCCTTAGTACATTATACCTAGAATTTATGTACTTTAAATATATTATTGCGTTAATTTCTTGGACATGTTTCAAAATGCATGTGTACATACGTTCTTACATATATCACAAAACTATATTTCCGAATAAATTTTTCCCAACGGCTGTGACATCTGCACCAGTCAATATACACAAGGAATAATAATGCCCGTACGATGGTGCTAGCGTGAGGAAGAGAAACCATGATCATGATGGGGAGCAAAGCTGCTGGCGACTTAGATAAAAATAAGCAATAAAATTGCGTATAACAATGTGACAATTGCGTATAACAATGTGTAAGAATAAGCAATAAAATTGTGTATAACAAAAAACATAAAAATTGACAAAATTTTCAGTGTCATTAAAATAATAATGCCTTTGAAAATTTTGTCAATTTTTATGTTTTTTGAGAATGATGGAAGTCTTCTATCACATTTAAATCATATCAAGTACTTTAATCTATCTGATTGGCTTAGCAGCTCAAAGCAACTTTAACAAAAAAATTGCTCTGTATAGACAAACTGCTTTCAGTCAACAAAATGGGAATGAACGCTAACCTTAAGCACCTTTTATGCCTCGCGTGGACGGTCTTCAACTGGAAAAACAAAACTGTCAGTGTTTTCCTAAACAAATTTTTAATTCAATTGTATAACGTCCTTGCTGCAGGTTTTTTTTTTTTTAATACGTAGCAAATAATTATAAATGCTTGATACAGAAGGGCAAATTTTGAAAACTATTAAGCACTGTTATAGAATAAGTAATTCAAGGTTTCGGAGCAAACGTTTTCTTTCGAAAAAATTTCTGCAGCGGTTACAAATTCTTTCTACTTTAATGACACTGGTTATAGCTCTTTTTTGTTTTCCTCATTCATCAGAACTGTTAAAAAATAATATGCAAATGTATCTAGCATTCTTCCTGAAGAGAAGAATGTTAGAATATATATGAATATAATTTTAAATAGCTCATTCCCATTATTTGAAATAATTAAAAAATTAAAATTACATGGTAAATGAATATTCATGCAAAATGTTTGAGTTTCAAAAGGGACTTCCGCTATTCTAATTGACAAATACAGTTTATGTATTAAGTACAGTTAGGAAGTTGGGATTTTTAAGGAAAGGGACAATTTGCCCAAAACGGCTATTAATTTTGTTTTGGCATTTTGTGTCGTCCATTATAAAACGGCGTTTCACTTTTCTAATTGTTGCCACCAAATATTAGAGCCCTGTATTATATTTAAATAAATTAAATAATGAAGAATCTGCATGAGTGTATGCATGTTTCTGGCATTGTGAAAATAAAAAGGTACGTAGAAACATCAAATTTTGAATAACGTAGACCTCCACTCGAATATCGGCATCTGGAAGCCCAATTTCGGAATTTGTTTTATTATCTATTTCATATTTTATAAAACGTTTTCTAATTTCTAACTAACAAACTCAGTGATTTCATAGCGAGCAATGGCAACACTGTACGGAAAAGAAACATTTTTGTTTCCAGCGTGCGAGACTGTGCATCGGAAATTGTAAAGATATGCACTTTTTAAATACTGATATCGATATTTCTGTTGAATCGAATTTTATTGTTTAAGTGCAAAGAACATGATGTTTAATAAACAAAATAACACACGAAAGTTAAAAAACGCCACTTTGGGCATAACATAAAATCTGAAAGCTTTCATATTATTTTTTTTATACAAGCTAATTTACGCTAGTGTTTCATGCATGTCAATTTTATTTTATTTTCATATATGTTAGTTTACATTGAATCCATTTAGAATTTAAGTTCACATCATAAACTATCCTAAGCAGACGGAGACAAAAGTCTTTAGTCTTTTACTGATGTATAAAGTATTACTAAATATTTTTGTTGCGTGGTCACTCTGCTTACAATGTTTAATTTATATGTTTACCGTGAGTGTGTATATCTTATAGTGTAAACCCTGCAATTTTAACGTTAGTCTGAGTTTAACATTTATAATTTTTGTTTCATTCTTCTTAACTCATTATTCATAAACACGCACTTTCCAGCTAAGTCACATCAATACTGACAGATAGTTTGGGCAAATTTTTCTTATCAGATTTACCACAACTATCGCAAAAATATTGTTGCGGTTTTTTTTTTTTTTTTTTTTTTTTTTTTTTCTTTTTTTTAACACCAGTTGTTACATTCTTCCTTCACGTTTGTATGGGGTTCGTAGATTTGGAGTGAATAACGACGACACTTGATGAAGTACCGAAATGCACTTTATTTACCAATATTAATCAGATAGCTCCTAAATCACTTTTACAGTCGTTGAACTGTTATAAACACGCTGACGCGTTCAGCGACACAGCCTTCACACTCTCAGGCAATAACTCTCAGGCAATAACTTCACTGCAAAGCTCCCGATTCTGCTTGGTCGTTCTCGGAACTCCACGTACTTTCGAGACTTTCCACGCTACAACTCGCGATGGACTCGACGATACATAAGAATATAGCTCTCGACTCAGCACTAATTCGCGATAAACTAAAATATTCTCTCGATACACTTGCTGACCAACTCGGCGCTAGACTTCGAGACACTCGCTCAATGACTGACTATCAGCTCCCTAGACGAGGCACACACTTACTGACTGCGAACCAGCAGGGCTTATATATCTTTCGGGCTTGTGTTCGAGAACATGACTGGTCTAAACCGGTAAGAATTCGTTCCAGAAGGTTCTCCATCCGCCATGGTATATCGCCAATTTTGTCGCCAAATGGGCGTTTTATCGCCAAATATGACAACACTGTCTTCCTTGCTATTTTATGGCAACCCTAAAATTGCTTTGCGGAGAAGCCATCTTACCGCGCCTTGCCATTTGGTAACATTATTATTCAACGTAGAATATAGAAAATGGATTAATGAGTGTACTAGAAAGCTTAAGATTTATTAAAAAAAATATAAGATATCGTAAGAAAGTATTAGATGTGGTCATAGTGGTTTAAAATTATATTTATTTAACAATATTTATTTTAAAAACAGACACTTAAGTATTAATTTACTTTTCAACTTATTTCAGTTCCTCCAATGATATGGATTCCGAACCAGCTTGTCGGTGCTCCAGTGGGTGGTAAAGTCACCGTCGACTGTCACACCGAGGCTTATCCGAAGTCCATAAATTATTGGACAAAAGAGGAAGGCGAGATGATCATCCAGAGCACAAAATATGACGTTGTACATAAAGTTAACACGTACAAAGTTCATATGATTCTAACGATCAGAAATCTAGTTCATGAAGACTTTGGGACCTACCGGTGCTATGCTAAGAATTCACTAGGATCCACAGAAGGCTCTATACGATTATATGGTATGTATTAGTTTGATAGATTTAATTAGGTAAACTATTCTGAACTTAATTTAACTGAAGACTTCATGTCATGTATCAGATGACAGAGATGATATATCTCAAGTCATGTATTAGACTGTCATGTATTTTTCTTAACATGCGTTTTCCTAGCGTAAAGCGTCCTTAGAAAGCCGTATTACTTCTACAAGAATATGATATAACGATATATAATTTATACTGGAACTCAAATCATAGCTCGAAAATCTTTGACCTCAAATATATATATATATTCAAATATAAATTCAGTTCACTTGCTAGTTATATTTGTAGTTCATCATTTTTCAAAAGTAATAATATTTCATCAGTTTTTCAAAAGTAATAATATAGGGAAAATATTAGGTTTGTCATGTATTTACGGGTATATTTTGAAAAAAAAATTACAAAATCAAAAATCTGCCTGTTAAAATGCGATTTGACCCAGATACATATCGTACGGGTAGATCAATTTGGACATAAAGCAACATTTAGTTCACAATAATTTCAACAGATGGCACTTTTAATATTTTTCCTATAAGATTCGATTCAGAAAACTAAAGTATTACAGAATTCATTATTTCGCATATGCGAGTACATTGCAGTATTTCTAATAATGAAGGCGGTTCATTATGAGCTTATCAATTGCATATTTTTTTTAAAAGATTTCAGTTTGCTTACTTTAAAATTAATTGTTTTTGTCGTAACTTCTGCATATTAATTCTACATATCTGACAACTCTTATAGTAGTTCCAGAGCAGCTTTATTAAGCTGCAGATTATTGCTAAAGAAGAAACAAAATTATGCCCTTTCACTGAATGTTATAAGGCATTATAAATTACGGATTTTAAGTACATGTTATAGTCTCGAAATATTATAGTCAACAGAGTAATAATTTGTCTTAAAACTGTATCTGGGCATAGCGAGGCAAAGAATTTTTGAGAGCGTATTTCATGCTAATGTTTGAATTGTTACACTTCAAAAATTGTAGTTTTTAGATTAATAATCCGTGAACTTACTTTGTAAGATCGTTCTCTTCTATTCCCCATAAACTAAATTAGATTCGACAATGAACCTGACGAATTCGCGCCCGGGAGTGAATGAAAATACCAGCAGAAAAGAAGTGAGAAAATAACCCTTTATTAATTCCAACTAATAAGGTACGATCTTTGTGCTTTACAATAACACCGTCAATTTGCCTCGAAACTTAAACGTAGAATATAAATCCACCTCAGAGTGAAATTATAATAGTGCTGGATTAGCACGCTTAAGTATGGCTAACTTAGGTTACATCAAAACCTAACTGGCGTTAAAATTATCCGAAAGGGCCAAGAGGGTACTAGCGTAACAGCGATACAGCAATGAAATGGGCACTGGCTAGCGAACACACGCTCTGAATAAACTCAGAGATTCATCCTTTTAATACACACTTCACTTAAATTTAAATTTACAGCCTGGCGAGCAAATGTGAGGGGAAGTTGAGGAGTTCAGGAAAGTTGTCAAACTTAAAATAATATGTTATGCAAAATAAGGAAAACCCCACAACTTGCATAGTTCAACTACAGTTTTCAGGATGTAAGTGTAAATCAGTTCATCGCTTTAACACTCCTATGCTGGAACTGAATCACTATCGTGGTTGTCCTCTAATGTCATTCTTAAAGCTTTGTTTTTAATTAGTGACATAATTATTCAACTGTCATATGAATACAATTTCCAAAGGGAATGAACACTCCGTAGTTACCCGAAAGAAGGCACAACTATGGGTACCAATTTCTAACATATTTTATTACTCATTATTACTAATTTATTATATCTAAATTCATAACTGTCTGTAATCACTAAACTAAACATATTAATTGAAATATAATGCTTGTATAAACTTTATTTTTTTAACTTTATTGATCTGTTAATTGGAAGTAGGATCATCATGTTTATAATAATGTATTTTGCAATATACTCCAAATATATATTTTTCAAGGGTGTTGTTCTTTCAATGGATTCAGCTATATATACATATTAGATTGAAACATAATCGATGGTCATTATTTAAGCAATAGTGAAATGTGAATGGGTACCAGAGTAAGGGAAGAATAAAAATTAATTTTAATCCTGGGGATTTATACGCTAGTCTATTAACTATTAAGTGCCAACTGAAATCTTAATAACCATAGGACGCTATCGTTTTCGTCCTGTTTGTATTCTAATTAGAAATGGTAAAAAGCTAAGGCAAAAGCTTGAGTACAACTATTTATCAACACGTTGAGAGAATAGGTTACATAAACTGAAAATTAACAGCAATAAAATTGCTGGGTTACGGATAGAAACTACACGTTTTCAACACAAAATTTCAAATTGGAGGTGCAGTAGAATATGACGAAAGCTTACCCTAAACCTTGGGTTTCCTTGTCTATAAGTACTCCCCAAAAAATTGTGGAAAGCAAAATTTTATGGGCAAGCTAATTATAGTAGGTGAGATCTATACTATAGTCTAATCTAAAGTAAAGGCCAGCTTATCCTGAAAAACGAATGAACTTGAAGCATGTTTACGTTGACTAACTAATTCGCACTCTGGTAGTTATTAAAGAAAGTGGAAGTACAGAAATGCCAAGGTAATAAGGTAACTCTTTATCTAAAATAAAACCTTAATAATTACATGAAATAGTGTTTAGTATTTACCAGAATAATTCAAATGAACGATCACCAACTGCAATATTTGCATCATATAATAACGAAATGATTCGAAGACGTCCAGTATATAACGTACAGCTAGAACAGCAACGTTAATTCGGGTGATAAGCTCTTCAAGAGAGTCAGTCTGTGTCTAGTAAATTAGATCCACCATTGTAACGATTGATGCATGTATTGCAGTTTGCTGTTCAGTCAACTGAACAATTCTCGTAGACATCAAATATTTATCACTGTAAACATCAGTGTTTAAAAATTTACATTCTGTTTCCCATTTGTATTGTACGTTCTGTCTTCTTCGTTCATATTCTAGCACATATTATGTTACAAATTGTTGCCAATGAAAGTTGTAAGCAGCAATTCTGCTAGATGCTATAAATATACTCTGGAAAAATGTATTCGATTTATTTAATGCTAACTAATTTTTATAGATTTACTTATGTCTCAAAGCGCATTTTTATAAAAATATATCATTTATTGAATAATTTATTTTATGCTATAGAAATCCATGTTCCTCAGTTATTCAAAGAGCCTTCCACAGCTAAAATTCAGAGCCTTGATGGAACTTCAGGTACGTTATCTTATTTAGCACATAATATGATGGATTTTGACATTATTTTGAAATTTTAGGGTACAACAAAAGGTTCTTATCTATTAACTAATATTTGTACAAATATTAGTTATCAATATGAAATCAATTTTTAAATAAAAATCAATTGTAAATATTTAAGAATTTTTTCTTCCGTTTTCTGCATCTAAAAATATAATTTCTCTTATGTAGAATCACAGTTTACCCAAAATTTCTAATTCAAAGTACCCAGCAACTGAAATACAATTCCTAACCGTTTGATGTATGCTTGCCAACAAAATGAATATACATATACATATTTTTTTTTTTTTTTGTTTTATGATTATCTCCTCGAAATGGAAATGTAAAACTATTGCAAATTTAAATTCGTAAATATGAGTGGACTTTGTTAAAAATATTAAAAGCTTGTTACAAACTTAAAAGCAGTTCAAAATTTCTGACGTTCTGCATTAAAATAATACATTGTAACAAAGAAAAATAATAGTTCGTACACAAAAATAAGGTAAAACAGTATTTACATGAAAAAATCAAATAAAATATTGTCTATTTCACAGACGCGAGTTGACATTTCAAGGGGAATTAAAACTCGTCCAAAAAATCCGCAATAAATTGGGTATTACCCCGTTTCATCTTCTTCGCATATTTGAATGAATTCCTTTAATCAAGAAAACAATACCGGAAGTTCGTATTTAAATGAATAATTAATATATTTGAGACCTAAAGGACAAAAAAAAGATATTTATAAAAAACAAAATTTGAAGGATTTCAGATTTTATATTACTCCCAAAGAGGCATTGGTTTAACATTCTATCTGTTACCAGTACTTAGTAAATATCATGTTTTTCGCACTTAAACCTAAAACTCAATTCAACAGCAATATCACAAAATATTTAAAAAGAGCATATCTTTAGAAGTTCCGATACACAGTCTCGCGCGCTGGACATAATTTTTCCCCCGCACCGTCCTGCCATTGCTCGCTTTGAAATCGTTGAGTTTGTTAATTAAAAATTCATTAAAGTGTTACAAAACATGAAATAGATAAAAAAAAAAATTCAAATTCTAAATTTGGGCTTCTAAATGCCCCTGTTATGGTAGAGGACACAATGCGAGTAACGTACATGCATTCATGCAGATTCTTCAATATTTAATTTCTTAAAATATAAATCAAGGCTCTAATATTTGGTGGCAATAATTTGAAAAGTGAAATTAGTGTGGACGATTGAAAATGCGAAAATGAAATTAACAACCCCTCTGTGAAAATGTCTCCTTTCTGTTAAAAAATTTATGTAATGGGGAATTTAGGTGTATCAATGTATTTAAAAACAATGTAAGACTATTATGTAATTATAATGTCTTAATTACGTGCATTATATAAAAAAACTGTTCTACCTTATTCTTATGTTGATACTATACTTTCCATTTTTCAAACGTACGATTTTAAGACAAAGCATCAAGAATTTTAAACTTCTTTTAAATGTATTACAAGTTTTTGATAATTTTAACATAATCCTTTTAAATATTAACATTTGCTAGTTTCAATTTTCAATAGTTTTACATTTCCTTTCCTAGGTGGTAATTATAAGTTGAAAATTAATAATTAAATTTCCTTGTTATAGTCTTTGCTGCAATAGCTCCAGGTTTGTTTCGCTTTCAAAGTTCATCTATGCCTTTAGTTTTTGCTTCTTTACTTTAGATAACTTAATATTTTAAACACAACGTTAAATGTGTTTCACGATAAATTCACTGTTTGGATTGCATTTGTGAAAATAATTTTATCGGACTAAAGCTCAATAATTATATTATTGAGATTAAATTATCGTGAAAATTTCTAATAGAGATTAGTGCATATATAACGAACCCTAATGTTTTAAGTCTATAAAATGAACTACTTCGGTCGGTAATTTGTTGCTTTTAAATACTATCTTCGACATAAATTTGTGACATTAAAAGCACCATAAGTTTCAAGTATCAATTTTCTTACGGTAGAATTTTCCAAGCTTTGCATATTGCCCTCCTTAGTAAAATCAGAATAGAAACAGCTGAGCTGTAAATTAAGAAAACAGAAACCACAAATAATGTCAAAAAGGTAAGGATATTGATTTATTAAAAATATTCAGTGTAAAACATATTTTGAAATTACTGTAGCAAATAAAACAAGATCAATGGATCGTAAAATTCAATTTTTGAATCAAAACCTGTGCAAGATGAAAATAAAATAAAACAACAGTAGAATTTTTACACACATATAATGTTTCTTTAAGATAAAACAAATAAAACTATATGCATTGTGTTTTTAAAAGTTGTCGAATGAATATAAACATAAAGAAAAGTTTCGAGTTCCAAAACAATATGTTAAAGCTGCAAAGAAAAAAAAATATGTGATCTATTTTAGATCTTCTTTTCCCCACATACCTTAAGGAGAATAAAAATGGGATGCGTCATTGAACGCGAAAAAAGGTGTAAACGCATAAAACTTCGTTCCCATTTAACTGTTATATCTCTCAAAAGCAGTCGTATAATAGAATTTATTCAGCAACTGAGTATCCCAACTATGGTTTTTATTCATCTCTGTGTACTTTTATTTTCCTGTGCAATGCGTAAAATATTAACTGCTATATCGAGACAATGACTCCACTGCAGAAAATTAATTGGATTTGCAACTTTATTACTTTTCAAGTACACATTTTATGACACTCCCATTTCTAGTTCAGTTTTCTAAAGTTAACAGCATTTTTTGCCAGAACTTAAAAAGATAATTTCCTTTGAAATGCATCTTAATTCTCAATGAGTTAAGCATAAATGTTTGCTGAATATTTCGCTTTATTTAACTTTCCTTTCAAGAAATTTACTTTTAATTCATTTTCTATTAAAGAACTCATTTAAAATTAATTTAATTGTTCGCTAAATAAATAAATAAATATATATATATATATAATATGCGAATTAATTAAAATTTATATCTAATCTCTGGTACGTAGAGGAAGATGATGCTGACATAGATATAGAAGTGCTAGCAGGGAGTGCTGTACGTAGTAAAGGTTAGCATCTTGCTTATTTTTAATGAATTCAATTAATTTTCTGTTATGTAATTTCTTAAAAAAGACTTTCTATGCATGCGTATTTTACTATTTGGTTTTTTTTAAACGTCATATACTGTAAAAATGTCATTTTATTTCAATTTCAGAAATATTTCTCTCCTAAATTTCTTTAAATTAAAAATTCAAATGTTTCCCAATTTTTTTTTAGTTCAGAATTGTCTTAGGTGTTTCAAATATTTAATTGGATTGAATTTCAATAAAATTTCAAGTTAAAAGTTTCGGCTGAAAGTAAGTCAAACATCGATCCTTTAAAATCCTGAGTTGAGAAAATGTAAGTAAAATAAAAATAAGAAATTATATGATCTTGAAATTTTTGTATAAAATATATTCACCAATAATAGAAAATTTTAGGAGTGTTTCTCAGGTGGCATTATTTTGAAAGTACACGTATATTTATGTTTAGATAGTGTTAAATATATTCTATAGTATCGTGGCGCCTTAATCGGTATAGTGGCTAGAGCTATAGGCTACTATACCATTGGGTCCGTACCTTACGAGAAAAAGTGTCTCAGAAAAAAACTAATTGCATTGGGATATACATCATATGTTTTCGTCAAACTAATGCAGCTTCTGTCAGACTTCCAGTATACGCATTCGCTTTGTTCACGTTGTTATTTGTATTATGTAAAGTAAGTAATGAAAACAATTGCAATTTGTCTTAACCCAACGAGACTGAAAAATGTGTGCGTGACCTTGGAATTTCGCATTTTATAACACTTCTGATTTTTGTAACTTTTATAACACGAACTAACATTTTTAATTTTTAAACCATATTTCGCTATTTTTGTATTATACAATTTGAAGACGAAATATTATAACTCTTTTACGTCATATACATGTCAGAAACATTTTATTAATACTAGCGCACAAGCCCGGCAGATGAACGGGTGCAGCTAAAGCAAAATTTATAAGTTCTACCTGAAATGAAAATGCATAAAAACATTCACTATGAATAAAATCAGTTGATTCATTCCGAGCAAAAACCGATTAGTAAATACTTTTTATTGCAAAACCAGGAAACAAAATCTTTTGACTTATCAGGTTATTACGTTTACCTATGACATCCTAACTCAAATTTAATATAATATAGCAGCTTTGTTCTCAATGCCAATAAAAGAACTAACGTGGCAATAACATACCGTATCAGTTATCCTAAGATGAAACACAATAGTTGCAAACAACAACTATTTATTTAAAATGCTGACATTAACGAAACGTTTTCGGCATACAATGACGTCAAGTGCTATCGCGCACTTTCTTCAACGTCGGAAAATTACTTTACTTAATAATATATTTAATGCTTGGGAATGCTATTTACCCCGAAGGTGCGGGAGCCCAGATGAGTTATTAGTCTCAAAACGTCATTTTTGAGGCGTTTCACTATAAACTGCGAATTAAATATCTGCATGAATGTATGCATGTTCCTCGCATTTGTGAAAAAACGATGGTACATAGAGCCATCAAATTTTGAACAACGTAATCCTCCACCTGGACATGGACACTTTTAAGCCGGAATTTTTAATTTTGAATTTGTTTTCTTAGCTATTTCCTATTTTATAAAACTTTAATGAATATCTTATTAACAGTCTCAACGATTTCAAAGCCAGCAATGGCATTAACAAAAAAACAATTTTTATCTCCAGAACGCGGGACTGGTTATCGGGAATTGTAAAGATATGCTGTTATATATTTTGTGGTATTGCTGTTAAATTGAATTCTATATGGTTTAAGTCCGAAGAACATGATATTTAATAAATAAAGGTAACAAACAAATCGTTAAATACGCCCCTTTGGGCATAATATAAAATCTGAAAGATTTAAAATTTTTATTTTATTTCATATTTTGTAAAATTTAGCAGTTTTTCATTAACAAACTCTACGATTTGGAAGCGAATAGTGGCAACACTTTTCGAAATAAGTAGATTTTAGTTTCCAATGAGAACGTTGCCACTCGAAAGAATGAGCCCGGAAATTAGTGTTTACAGAGTTTTTATTTAATATCTCAGCTAAGATGAGAATTGTCGACATGTTTTCCCGCAAATTTTTTTAATCCGGGGGGGGGGTATCTCTTTCAAAACTCAACTCCCTGCTATTCCGGAGGAGATAATGCCATAAACAAACACATAAACAGACAGAAACGCACAGATTTTAATATTATAATTTTTGTATTTTCAGATATAGAACGTGAAAGGAATTCTAACTGATTTCTCCCAATCATACACAAAACAAATTACGAATTCTTACCTATTCAAACAGCCGAAAAAATGCGAAGGCAAAAATTTCCCTAAACTACTTCCGCTCTTTCTAATATCGCTGCCAAATTACACCCCATGGAGGAGGTAATGGTTGAAAAACTTGGTACATTATCATCTATTTCTTTCTTATACTATGCAACCTATTGTAGAAAAACAATAGAAATGAGCGATTTAAATAAAATATCAGCGAAGGACCAGCTACATTTAGAGAAGGAATTCAATATGAATATCATTAAGCGCGAAGCTAGGCACATTTGTCTTTCCTTATCAGAGAACTTAACATAACTTCGCTGACGAATTAAATATGACTTCTAAATATTCGCATGGTGTTTCATTTTTTACTTGCTGCTTAAAAGAAAATCGAAAAAAAAAAGATACTAAATCTCCAGACATCTAAACGCTATTTTACAAAGAAAGCTTTTTGCTTTAAAATTTTAACATTAGCTAAATAAATTTAAACTTCTGTTGTGTAACAGATAAGTAAAAATTCTAATGTGGACCCCTCACGACATCCTTGTATGGTCTATTAAATTATACACATTTTTACTGCATTTCATTTAAACTTATTCTCTCGAATTTCATCAGAGATATATTCATCATTCGTTTAATTCAGTTCTCACTTCGCGGCAAAGCAAAAATACGTAAAAACTCAAAATAACTTCATTAAAAATTGTAAAATACAGAAAAACATAAAACACCAGTTAGAACGTTTAAAAAAACAATTTTTACAATCAAAATTAGTGTTTCTACGCATAAACAAGAAACTCGGCCAGCAGGCATAAGGGCATATTTTTCGGTGTCCGCAAAAAACATCGCCGCAAAACCATCGCGGACGAAAACGTCGCGGCGAAAACATCGCAAGGCGAAAACGTTGTAATACAAAACATCGTGAAAGAAAAGAAATCAAAGAGAAAACATCGCAGTTCTAAAACATTGTGGTACAAAATATCATGGTCGAAAATAAAGCGATTCAAAAACTTCACAGTTTAAAAACATCGTCATCGAAAATATCGCGGTTAAAATTAAAGTACCTACAAAATCATCGCATGACAATAGCATCGCATTCATGCCTTTTCATGTTTTAAAATATGTAAAGGCATTTTCGCATAATGATTTGGCAGCGCAAGAATGATTCTTTTACTTCAATATTACATATTTTTGAATGAACTAGTAAATTTTTTCTGAAACAAAAAGAAGGAAACTTAAGTATTTAAAACATGAAAATGAGTATAAAATTAACGCAATTTTTAGAACTTAATTTGAATAAGAATTACTTAACTTGACTACTTGAACTGACTTACTTGAAAAATTTTTAGAACTTAATTTGAATAATAATTTTT